CCTGGCTACTCTACTTCCAATCAGCTCCTAGTTTATATATCTGGGAAAGTAGTAGAGGAAGACCCAAGTCCGTGGGCCTAGCTGTTGGAACCATCCGGGAAGTGAATCAGCAGATGTGAAATCTCTCTCCATAACTCTATTTCAAATAGTCATTTTAGAGGGGGGAAAAAAGCATAGGCGGGCATTTGGTACAGAGATTAAGACAGTTTGGGATGCCTCATCCAATAACAGGGCCTGTAGGCTCCAGTCTCCCCTTGTTTCTGATCCAGCTTCCTGCTAAGAGGCACTCTTTGAAGCAGTGCTGATGACTCAGGTTTTTGGCACTTCTGCCACTCCCATGGGAGACATGCCTTGCCTCCCCAGCAGATATTTGCAGGCATTTGGGAAGAAAACCAGTGGGTGACAGGTATCATTTATTCTTTCTTTCTCCTCTTCCCTCTCTCAGTTCTTCCTTCCCTCTTTTCATCATTCATCTCTGTATCAATTCATACATATTTATTATTTTGGGCCCGGCGACGTGGCCTAGCAGCTAAAGTCCTCACTTTGAACTCGCTTGAATCCCATATGGGCGCCAATTCTTGGCAGCTCCACTTCCCATCCAGCTCCGTGTTTGTGGCCTAGGAAAGCAATTGAGAATGGCCCAAAGCCTTGGGACCCTGCACCTGCGTGGGAGACCTGAAGGAAGCTCCTGGCTTCAGATCAGCTTGGCACTGGCAGTTGGGGCAACTTGGGGAGTGAATCATCCAATGGAAGATCTTCCTCTGTCTCTCTTCTCTGTATATCTGACTTTACAGTAAAAATAAATAAATCATTTTTTTTTAAAGATTTATTTTTATTATTTTTTTATTGGAAAGGCGGATATACAGAGAGGAGAGACAGAGAGGAAGATCTTCCATCCGATGATTCACTCCCCAAGTGAGCACAACGGGCCGATACTATGCCGATCCGAAGCCAGGAGCCTCTTCCGGGTCTCCCACGCGGGTGCAGGGTCCCAAAGCTTTGGGCCGTCCTCGACTGCTTTCCCAGGCCACAGGCAGGGAGCTGGAAGGGAAGCGGGGCTGCCGGGATTAGAACCGGCGCCCATATGGGATCCCGGGCGTGCAAGGAGAGGACCTTAACCACTTGCGCCACCGCGCCGGGCCCAATAAATCATTTTTTAAATTAGAAAGGCAGGTCTGCAGAGAGGAGAGACAGAGAAAGACCTTTCATCCATTGGCTCAAATGCCAAGTGGCTGCAATGGCTAGAGCTGAGCTGATCTAAAGCCAGGAGCCTCCTTTGGGTCTCCCATGTGGGTGCAGAGTCCCAAGGCTTTGAGCCATCCTCTTCTGCTTTCCCAGGCCACAAGCAGGGAGCTGGATGGGAAATGGAGCTGCTGGGATACGAATCAGTGCTTATATGGGATCCTGGCACTTGAAGAGGGAGAATTAACCAATTGAGCCATTGCACCAGGCCAAACATTAAAATAAAAGATTTATCACCCTTAGTCTTTCAGCCATATTTTAGTTGTGCTGGGTGACAAAAGAGAGGATAGGCTTGGTTGTTAGCTCCCAGCCACATAGTCATAATAGAAATGTTACCTGTTTTCATTTGTAGACTCCAGGAATGGACTTCCTGGGCTTTGTCCATCTCATAGCACATAGGTTCTACATAGTAGGTGTTGGTAGTGGTTAATTATTGCAGTTGTTCTCTCAAACAGAGACACAGATACTGTTTCTTGTTACATAGTAGCATGTCCCTTCCCTTTGGCATCCTGAGGAAGTAAAAGTTAGAAAATTGAGTAGCTCAGAGGCACAAGTGATGTATTACCTAATGGAATTCAAGTTATTTTCCCTCACTTCATTCCATTGTTCTTGGTCAGCATCATCCACAGGTAAGCTTGAAGAAAGTAAACAGGTTAGTAAATAGGTGATTTGAATATTGCATCAGTGGACATTCTGATCTGACTGTAATTTTTTAAAAAGTTTTATTTTTATTGGGAAGTCAGATTTACAGAAAGGAGACTTCCATCTGCTGATTCAAGAGGCCACATCAGCCAGTACTGAGTTGATCTGAAGCCAGGAGCCAGGAGCTTCCTGAAGGTGTCCCTCAGGGGTGCAGGGTCCCAAGGCTTTGGGCCGTTCTCTGCTGCTTTCCCAGGCCACAAGCAGAGAGCTGGATGGGAAGTAGAGCAGCCAGGACATGAACTGGCACCATATGGATCCTGGCAGCTCATGCAAGGCAAGGAGTTTAACTATTAGGCCACCACACCGGGCCCAGGCTGTTATGATGTTTTCTTTCACTTTTTAGACTGTATTTTGAAAGTTTACATGCAATAAATTGTTTGGTGGATATAGTCATAACTCAGAATACATAAATACAGATGGATAATGTCATGTCAACACCACAACACTCAAGACAGATTTATTTCACCGCTGCCTGGGAATAATCAGCCAATCCTCGGCCCAGATTTAGTCTTGCAGCAACCTTATAGTCAGACCCGTCACTACCCTAGAACACCCGGGGTCACTAATCTGTTTTATGTCCATAAAACTGCTTTTCCAGGGAGGTGTGTTAATGGAGTTAAACTGATTTAAAAAAAAGAGATTTATTTTTATTGGAAAGTCAGATATAAGGAAAGGAGGAGAGACAAGCGAGGAAGATGGTCTGTCCATTGATTCACTCCCCAAGTGACTGCAATGGCTGGAGTTGAGCTGATCCAAAGGCAGGAGCTAGGAGACTGTTCCAGGTTTCCCACGCGGGTGCAGGGTCCCAAGGCTTTGGGCCATCCTCAACTGCTTTCCCAAGCCACAAGCAGGGAGCTGGATGGGAAGCGGGACTGCCGGGATTAGAACTGGTAGCCACATGGGATCCTGGCATGTTCAAGGTGAGGACTTCAGTGCTAGGCCACCATGTGGGGCCCTGCATCTATTTTTTTTAAAAGGTTTAGTTCTTGAAGGTGTATTTTTTATTTGCAAGTTAGAGGTATAAAGTGAACAGGAAAGACAGGGAGAGTCGTATATGTTGTTTCACTCCCCAAGAGGGCAGTGGGCTGAGTGAGCCAGTCCGAAATCAGCAACTCACAGCTTCTGGTCTCCCATGCAGGTGACAGGGGCCCAAGCGCTTGGCCCATCCCTGCTGTTTTTCCAGGTCATTAATAGGAAGATGGATCAAAAGTGGAGCAGCTGGGACAAGAACCACTGCATATATAGGTGTTAGAGAATGGCTTTATCAGCTATATCACAATGCTATCCCCTCTGATAATCTTTTTTTAAAAGATTTATTTATTTTTATTGCAAAGTCAGATATACAGAGAGGAGGAAAGACAGAGAGGAAGATCTTCCATCCAATGACTCACTCCCCAAGTGACCGCAACGGCCAGTGCTGCGCCAATCCGAAGCCAGGAGCCAGAAGCCTCCCCCAGGGCTCCCATGTGGGTGCAGGGTCCCAAGGCTTTGGGCCGTCCTCCACTGCTTTCTCAGGACACAAGCAGGGAGCTGGATGGGAAGTGAAGCTGCTGGGATTAGAACCAGCACCCATATGGAATCCTGGTGCGTTCAGGGTGAGGACTTAAGCCACTTGGCCACGTCGCCGCCCCCCCCCCCCTTATAATCTTTAATAATGGTTCCATCTTTTCTTGTCTCTTCCATGAGTAACACTGAGGAGTAGAGAAGAAGGAACATAAACCACATATAATTGGAGGGGAAAAAAGGACCCTGATGCGCTGCTATTCGCTGATTTGGCTCTTGGCCAGCCAGTCAGTGTTGTTTCTCTAGGTCAGTTAGCCAGTGCATAGTTACCTTTATTAAGAGTAAACCAGGAGCGTGTGATTTCTCACTTGAGAATCACAAGGAACTCTGAATTAGGGACAAGAATGGAATAGATACAGATCTACTCTCAGGTTGCTAAACTGCCATGTTCTGAAAGCTATCAACATCATTCCTGCAGGTTCAAATCACAAAATTTTACCTAATAAAGTGTCTCATGTGCCTAACATGTTATCTCCAACAATGGACCATTCATTTTCTAAGAAGATAACGTGTATATGTCATAATCGTTCATTAATTTTTAATACAGTTCGTCAGTGAGCTGGAGATGTCTTTCTTGGTACTCAGGAGGGGCAAGAGGATAATGCTTCCCTGATTCCCGTTTGCCTGAATCCTGTTGGTGAAGACGTGCCAGGCCACGCACTCAAGTGGTTCTGTGTCAAAGGAGATGCCTGATGCTAGCTGTTCATTTACAGGTAGCTTTTGAGAATGGCTGCCTCTCATTTCACCGGGCTCACAGCTGTGGCTGATGTAATTAAAGATCTAGACACTCAGATAGCTGTAAGTAAGCTCCCAAGGACCCTGTGGGGAGCATTGATGAGTGGGCTTGTGGTCCAGTGGCACCGAAGCTGGTGTCCACAGGGCAACTTTGTGGCTCCAAGGCTAGGAAGCTTGGCTGCTTCAGGCGAAGGTTGCTGCTGCATGTACTGCAAAATTTCTAACTCGCAGAAGTCGCTCTTGTTAATAAACAAGAGTACTTTTAACAGTTCTTGGAAGTTGCATTGACTGTGTATAGCTGACATGGACTTAAGTGTTGAAACACCAAAATGAACTAATCTGTTTTTGTACACTCTGTGAATGGATTTTAAGTATATGATTGTGAAGTGACTTACTTGCATTTAACATTGATATAGTACTTAAAGAATAATGCATGTGGCACTTACTGCTTTTTTTTTTTTACAAAGTCCTCTGAAGTGTCTTGTTTGTTTCTATTTGTTTTTATGGGTAAGATCCCTCATTTTATTTGCTTTCTTCCTTATTTCAATTTTGTGGACTATTTCATTTAGTTTTTGTAAAGGAGATGGTTTTTAACTCTCAGTTGAGAGCAACCGTTTTTCTTGCTTCATTTTCAGTATGCAGGTATCCCAGAGATTCTGAAAGACACCTCAAGATCAGCCCTCATGTAATTTTCCTTTCAGAACTCATCCTTTATACCATGTGCTTCAAGAGCTAATTCTCCTGTTTTGCTTCTCCAGTTGCTTGGCCTTGGTCCTCACAGCTCCAAAAAGAAACAAGACCTCGATAAGCTCTATGAGCTGAAGTCCAAAGCTCGGCAGATTATGAACCAGTTTGGCCCCTCAGCCCTAATCAACCTCTCCAATTTCTCCTCCATAAAACCGGAGCCAGCCAGCACCCCTCCACAGGGCTCCATGGCCAATAGCACCACAGTGGTAAAGATTCCAGGCACCCCTGGGTCAGGAGGTCGTCTCAGCCCTGAGAACAATCAGGTATCATCCTCTTGCGTTTTGCTCTCCGTGGGCGCCTCTTACCGTTACTGAACCAGTAATGCTTAGAGAGATGTCCGTCCTACATACTGCCTCTTCCTCTCCGCCACCTCTGAGACTGGAGCATTCCTTTTGGTTATCCTATACAGTGTTTGTTTGATTTTACTTTGTATTATATATGGCTATCCACATGCATAAAAACATGTATCCATACACACACATATACTAACACACATTTCAGGTGTTTTTAATATGTATATATGTTAGATACATAGCTGTTAAATAAAATAATTGGATTTGATATTTCTGCAATAAATGTAGCCTTGCCTTCAGTCATGTATTCTTCTAGCTTATCAGCTGTTGCCTGAATTAATTTCATCCAGTGATTTGAAAAACTGTCCAAGTCTTTCTACCCAAAATCCTAATTTTATTCTACGTAGCCATAAGAAATAGATACAGTCCCTTGATGTGTGTCTTACACGGTAGATAGGGTGGATGAGGACCCATATCAAGGGAGAGGGTGGAAGGATTAGCAAAGCTGAATGGGGAAGCTTGAGCAAATAGGAGACCCAATGGGTTGAATATGGAATCTATTGGAAAAAAGTCAAAGATAAAACTGTATATAGGCAGGGCTATGGAAGGACGTAGAGTCCTTGCACTAGGGTGTTTCCCTGCGTACTTTTAAGCACTAGACAATCTGTAGATCTTTAACAAAAGAGCAAGATTAACAAAAAGTTAAGTTGTGTGACTTAAGGTGGGATAAGAAAGGGAGTACCCTGGGAGGAAAACTAATTGTGAAATTTTTAGTGTTTTAGTATTTTAGTGCGTATCTTTTGATCTTTTTAAATGGTGTGTAAAAATAACATGCCACTTTCTTTTTGAAAATGGTAACTGGACAGACTTAAATACCCCTATTTAGTTATACAGAGGTGAACACGTGGACCCTGTCCTCCTGGAGCGTTTAGCCTGTTAAGTCAAGTAGACAAATATATAAATGTCCACAGTGTTACAAGAGTGCACACCACGAGACAGACGTGCCCTAGCAGGAAGCAGTGCTTTTACCCAGGTGAATGATGGGCGCTGAGAACTGAGCACCCAGGAAGAGGGAGAAAGGAAAAGTCTACAGGCAGCAAAGGCACAGTAGAATCTATGATGGTTGGAAAATCACAAATCAATTATTGGAAATAAAAGAGCACGATTAATCTGCCTGATACTTGAATGCTGGCCTCTGTTCCAAACTTCTCTTTCTGTCTTTCCCTGATGCACTTCAGTCTTGAGATGTGGACTTGTGACTACCATCAGGTCAACCAGACTGAGAGCTCATTGGAAAGTAGAAACTAGGCCCATCAGGTTAATAGCCTCGCTTCATTATGTGATTAATGATGTATTTTGTTTCCTTAATATTTGGCTGAACAATCTTCTCTCGATTAACTTTAGGTATTGACGAAGAAGAAATTACAAGACTTAGTAAGAGAAGTGGATCCTAATGAGCAGCTGGATGAAGATGTGGAAGAGGTAAGGTTGGCTTGGGTACTCCGGAGATTGAACGTAAGAGCTGATCTAGCGTGGTGTTTGAGAGCATAGATGGTAGAGACAGGCAAACCTGAATTCCAGTCCTTGCTCTGCCACGTACCAGCTGTTTAGCCATGGACAAGTCATTTAAACCTTTTGAGAATTCCCCTTCCTCTTATGCTAATAGGGCTGCCATTCTTTATGCACAGGGCTATTGTGAAGATCCCACCCATACACAGTCCAGGCTCAGGAGACTGCTTAGTATATTATTCCTAGAAATTTCTTTTTCTTTTTGCAAGGCAGAGAGGTAGACTAGATGTCATTTCTCTGGCTCACTTTCTAAATACCTGCAGCAAGCACCAGTCGTTGCAGTCATTTGGGGAGAAAATCATTGGACGGAAGATCTCCTCCTCTCTGTATATCTGACTTTGTAATAAAAATAAATAAATCTTTAAAAAATAATAATAAATACCTGCAGCAGCCAGGACTGGGGTCAGGTTGAAGCCAGGAGCTGGGAACTCACTCAGGCTTCTCAGCATGCAGGAGTTGGAAGCAAAACCAGACTTTCTAAGCAGTCTAAGATGAGCAGTTGGCATCCCAAATGGCATATTACCCACAGTGCCAAATACCCACTCAAAACAAATATTCCTTGGTTCATTACTTTTACAACACATTGTTACCTGTAATGTTAAAAGATTTTTTTGTTATGATACTCATAGATATGCCATTCAACATTTCTTTCCCTGGTTTTGTTACTCATTTTTTAATAACCTAAAGTCAGTACTTACAGCATTCTGATTATATAAATTTTGTATGCTCCTAGGCTAATGATCATGTTAGTTTTCTTTTTTAGGATGTATTTTCTTGAAATTTACTATTGGTACTTTTTTTAGATTATTTGGCAGAGTTAGAGCATGTTTTTTTTGTTTGTTTTTTAAAGATTGATTTTATTGAAAAGTGAAATTTACAGAAAGAAGGAGAGACAGAGAGGAAGATCTTCTGTCTGCTGGTTTACTCCCCAAGTGGCCACAATGGCTGGAACTGAGCTGATCTAAAGCCAGGAGCCAGGAACTTCTTCCAGGTCTCCCATGTCAGTGCTGGATCTCAAGACTTTGGGCCATTCTCTGCTGGCCATCCAAGCCACAAGCAGGGAGCTGGATGCGGTATGGAGCAACTGGGACACAAACTGGCATCCATATAAGATCCTGGCAGTTTCAAGGCAAGAACTTTAGCCACTAGGCTATCGTACCAGGTGCAAGAGAACACTTCTGTTGGATACTTCACTCCCCAGATGTCTACAAAGACCAAGGTTGGGCCTAGCCAAAGCCAGGAGCCAGTCAGGAGCTTCTTCCGGGTCTCCCACGGGGTTCAGGGATCCAAGTACTTGGTCCATCTTCTGCTGCTTTCTCAAGCCATAAGCAGGGAGCTGGATCAGAAGTGGAGCAGCCAGGATTAGAGCCAGCACTCATGTAGGATCCCGGTACATGCAATAAAAGGATTTAGCCACTAGGTTACTGCACCAGGCCTCATGGGATTATTATTTTTTAAATATTTATTTTCTTTTCATTGGAAAGTCAGATATACAGAGAGGAGGAGAGACAGAAAGGAAGATCTTCCATCTGCTGATTCATTCTCCAAGTGGCTGCAGTGGCCAGAGCTGCGCCAGTCCAAAAACCTGGAGCCAGGAGCCTCTTCCGAGTGTCCCACATGGCTGCTTGGTGCCATTAGGCCATCGTTGACTGCTTTCCCAGGCCACAAGCAGGGAGTTGGATGGGAAGTGGAGCTGCCAGGATTGGAACCGGCGCCCATACAGGATTCCAGCACATTCAAGGCAAGAACTTTAGCCACTAAGCTACTGCACTAGGCCCCTCTCTATTTAATACATTTGCAAATTGTATTGTTTTGTTTTTGAGCTTTATTTATTTGAGAGGCAGAGTTAGAGTGGGGGAGATGGAAGCAAGAGAAAGAGAGCTTCTATCTGCTGGTTCACTTCTCCAGTAGCCTCAATAGCTAGAACTGGGCTGGTCTGAAGCCAGCAGCCGTGCCAGGTTTCCTACAAGAATGAAAGGGACCAAGGACTCGGGCCTTTCTCTCTGCTCTTCCAGGAGGATTAGCAGAGGATGGATGGGAAGTGGAGCAGCTGGAATATCAACTGGCACTCATATTGATGCTGGCGCCACTGGTTATGGTTTTACCTGCTATGTCACAGCACCAGCCCCTTGTGTGCAGGTTTTCCGTTACCTTCTAAGTCTTTCAGTCTGCTCAGGGGAGAAGGTATAAAACCTTTCATCTTCTTTTTTTTTTCCAAACCATTCTGTTATTTTATGGTTTAATATCTTATGTTTCTGCTCCAAAGACATTCATGACATTTTTTGACGTTTTCTTGCATTGTCTATATCCCCTGGCTTCCCTTGGCTTCCCTTTTTGTTTGTTTGTTTGTTTGTTTTGGATACTTTCTTCTAACGTGGCATTGGTTCTGGGCCTGTCCTAAAGAATAAGCCAATAAAATTTGAGTGGAAGCAGAAAGAATTACTGATGGAGAGCTATTTAACAACCTCTCACAAATACATGGCCTTGATTTGCAGCATTTGCTGATTTCTGCAGTGTAAATATCTCCACTCTGCATGACGTCATTCAGTACAAAATGGGGAAGAGATTGACATAATTGCCTTTGATGAGCTAGGCTCACCAGCCCACTGGCCTTACCTCGGCCACCAGTCAGCCCTCCTGTGGAAGAACTCCCAAAGTGTGTCAGTGTCTGTCTCTCTTCCTCAGTCTCCTCTCGCAGGCTTTATCCAGAATCTCTAACGTTCTGGAAACACAGTGAGAAAGAACTGCTATTCCCTTCCTGCTGCTCTCTAGTGTATTCTGATCCAGAGCTGCCCCCTCCCCCAGTTTTTCCTATATAGATTTAAGATTTACTTTATTTTGGGTCCAACATGATAGCCTAGTGGTTAAGTCCTCCTGTTACATGTGCTGGGATCCCATGTAGGCTCCAGGTCAAGTCCTGACTGTTCCACTTCTGATTCCAGCTCCCTACTTGTGACCTGGGAAAGCAGTTGGCGAGTGAACCAGTAGATGGAATATTTTCTCCTCTGTCTCTTCCTTCTCTCTGTAAATCTGATTTTCCCGAGGTGTTGGACCATTCTCTACTGCTTTCCCAAGCCACAGGCAGAGAGCTGGATGGGAAGTGGAGCGATTGCTACATGACCTGGCGCCCATCTCGTCACTTACAAGGCAAATATTTAGTCACTGAGCCATTGCACTGGGCCCTATTTTGGTTTATTTTAATGTTTATGTATTTGTTTTTATCTGCTTGCTTACTGCCTACGTGCTTGTAACCCTAAATGCCAGTGGCCCAGAACTCTGTGTTTCCCGTGTGGGTTGCAGGTGCCCAAACCCTAGAAATATCACCTTCTTTCCAGGATGCATAAGCTGGAATCTGGATCTGAAGCAGGGGAGGTAGGAATCACCATGAGACCCCGAGCGTAACTTGCTGCACTGCTGCAACCACCTCACTCTCTCTGTGTTAGGGATCAGCGTTCTGTGGACGGAGTGTTGTGTCTGCAGAGAAGAGCACCTGCCTGTGGAATGTGGGGCTAGGGAGCTAGTCCTAATTCGTACATGTATTACAGTCCTGTCTTTGTGCCTCAGCCTAGTCCTCTATACTAAATGATACCTCTAGATCCCAGATCATTTAGAGAATTTGAGGGAAACCAGTTCAGTTTTCTCTGGTGTCTCTCCTAGGAGCAGTTGTGTCGTACCTTCTGCCTGCTAAGTGAGTTCCTACTCCCCCATATCTGTTGTCTCTTTAACCACATTTTACTTTAGAAGTTGGTGGCCCGGTGGCTAAATTCTCGCTTGCACATGCTGAGATCCCATATGGGCACCAGTTCATGTCCCAGCTGCTCCACTCCTCATCCAGCTCCCTGCTTATGGCTTGGAAAAGCATTAGAGGATGAGCCAAAGCCTTGGAACCCCATAGGAGCCCGTGTGAGCTGCCAGCCCCTGGCTTCACATAGGTTCAAATCTGGCCATTGCAACCACTTGGGCATTGAATCTTCCTTTTTTTTGAAGGAATTTATTGGAGTAGCCAGTATCGTGGCATAATGGGTTAAGCCACCACCTGCAACTCTGGCATCCCAGATGGGTGCCTGTTCTGGCCCTGGCAGTTCCACTTCTGATCTAGCACCCTGCTAATGTGCCTGGGAAAGAGATGATAGGCCAAGTCCTTGAGCCCCTATACTCAGCCAGCCCTGACTGGGTCATCTGGAATGGCCATTTGGAATGTAAACCAACAGATGAAAAATTCTCTCTCTCTCTCTCTCTCTCTCTCTCTCTCTATTTCTCTGTCTTTGTAACTCTGCCTTTCAAATATTTTTTGAAGGAAGTTTATTAGAATATATCATCTGTTAATATTTTTCTCACCTGGTACTCAGGGTTCAGCCAGCACTTGGGATACCCATAATCCCCAATTTGTTTACTTGAAAGGTAGAGGTACACGGAAAGAAATCTGTCATCTGCTGATTCACTCCTTCCACTGGAGCTGAGCCAAGGTAAAGCCAGAAACCTAGAACCCCATCTAGGCCTCCCACGTGGATGGCTGTGACCCAGGTACTGCCCATTCTTCTGATGCTTTCTCAGGTGCAGTAACGGAGAGCAGGATTAGAAGTGGAGTAGCTGGATCTCAAACTGGCACTCATATGAGATGCTGGCATTACAGAGAGTGGTTTAACCTGCTATACCACGGTGCAGGTCCCAAGTAAAATAAACATGTAAAAATAATAGTTTTCTCTCCTGTTCTTGTTTGCTTTGTAGATTGCCACATCTTTTTTTTTCTTTTGCAAGTATTTTAATGAGTTTAGGGTGTAATGGAAAGTTCATTTTTGTAATTTATCTACCATGTTTAACTAGAAGTCTTTTGTTTAGAAGTTGTCCATTTGGGTCGTATGGCTAAAAGTGCCAGCAGAGGCAGGTGGCCTAGTGGTTAAGATGCCAGCTGGAACACCTGCACTGCATGGGGTGTTCTGGGTTTGAGTCTCAAGCTTCCAACTCCAAATTCTGGTACTGCACATCTTGAAAGCAAAAATGATGGTTCAACCACCTGGGTGCCTGCACTCACGTGGGAGACCTGAATTGAGATCCAGCCAGGCCTGTTGTAGGCATCCCTGGGTGAACCAGTGAATAAGAGCTCTCCAAGTCTCTGCCTCTCAACTAATACAATAGATAAAACATTTTGCAAAAGGTCCATCAGAACAAGGAATGTCTAGACCTGTAGTTATAATTTTATTTGCTTTGTTGATCAACAGAAGAATCTGTGGGGCAGGTATTGACTAATCAGAATTTCTAGTTTGTTTTGTTTTGTTTGTTTTTGTTTTATCCATTGGAAAGGCAGATATACAGAGAGGAAGAGAGACAGAGAGGAAGATCTTCCATCCAATGGTTCACTCCCCAGGTGGCCGCAACAGCCAGAGCTGAGCCGATCTGAAGCCAGGATCCAGGAGCTGCTTCTGGGTCTCCCACACGGGTGCAGGGTCCCAAGGCTTTGGGCCATCTTCAACTGCTTTCCCAGGTCACAAGCAGGGAGCTGGATGTGAAGTGGAGCTGCTGGGATTAGGACTGGCACATTCAAGATGAGGACTTTAGCCACTATGCTATTGTGCCAGGCCCCAGAATTTCCCATTTTATCTTCAGAATTCTGATCTTTCACACTGGTCCAGGAGCCATTCTGAGTGAAGGAGGAACTCAGCCTCAGAGCTCTGGAGGTTGAGCCCAGGCCCCCCAGCTCACAGTGGCGTGGCCGTGAGCAGACTGCTCTCCCTCAGCCTAAGCGTCTGCCTCCATACAAAGATGAAACTCAGTCCCGTTTTCTCTGTAGGACTCCTTTACGGACTGAGATAATGGAAATAAAAGTGTTTTAACTCACTATACGTGACCAAATAGAATCAATCACATTGTTTTCCCACTGAATTCCAAAGAAAAGATAAGGGAGAAGCAGTTGGGTTAGTTGATCCTTGCTGACTGGAAAGAAGAGAAAGTAGGTCCTCAGAGGTTGACAGACTCAGCTTCGAAAATATCTCCTCTTCATCTGATTCCTCAGGCCCACCTTTGCCCAAACACTGGTGCCAGACCTGCTAGTAGCATCTGATTAAAGGGTGAGTGTTTGGCTCAGCGATTAGGATTTCTGCAGCATGCCTTCATCACACATCTTAGTGTCTGCACTCAGCTTTTAATTCCGACTAATGCCACCCTAGTACTGAAACAGGCTGTGACTAGAGAACTACCAGTTGAGGCTGATGTGGTGGCTCAACAGATTAATCTTCCACTTACAAGCACCAGCATCCCATACAGTCTTTGTTTCAAGTCCCAGCTGCTCCGTTTCCCACTCGGCTCCCTGCTTGTGGCCTGGAAAGGCAGTGCAGGATGGTCCAAGTCATTGGGATCCTATACCCATGTGGGAGATCTAGAGGAGGCTCCTGGCTCTTGGCTTCAGCTCAGCTCAGCTCCAGCCATTTTAGACCTTAAGGAAATGAAATCAGCCAATGGAAGATCTCTCTCTTTCTCTCTGTGAATCTCCCTTTAAAGTTTAAAAAAAAAAAAAAAACTACCACAGTGTGAGAGGCCCAGGTTGAGTTCTGTGCTTCTAGGTTACTGCTGACCCTGCTCAGCCTCTGCCACTGTGGACATCCTGGGAGTGAGCCTGCAGATGGAATGCTTCTATCTGTCTCTCGCTCTCTTCCTTTCAAATAAATAAAAATGCTTTTCAAAAAGAAAGCCTGTAGCCAACATCATGGCTTAGCAGCAGGTTGAGGTTCTGCGTGCCATGCCAGCATCCTACATGATGGCTGTTTTAACTCCTAGTTGCTCCACTTCCAATCCACCTCCCTGCTAACACACCTGGGAAAGCAGTGCAAGGTGGCCCTGGTGTTTGGGCCTCTGCCACCCACGTAGGCGATACAAATGGAATCCCTGGCCCACTCTCGCCATTACAACTGCTTGGGGAATAAACCAGGAGATAGACAGGCCTTCTGTTTCTCCCTCTCTCCCTCTGTAAGTCTGCTTCTCAAACAAATAGATGTATTTTTTTTAACAACACTGACTAAATATGTGATTCAGGCAGAAAACAGTTGTCCCAGCAACAGAAGCCTGCCTGCAATGTCATGGTTACTTTCTGCACTTGCCTTCCCCAGATGCTGCTGCAGATTGCTGACGATTTTATTGAAAGCGTGGTGACAGCAGCCTGCCAGCTTGCTCGACATCGCAAGTCCAGTACCCTGGAGGTGAAAGATGTCCAACTTCATCTAGGTATGTGGTCTTGCTCGGACAACTTCAGCTATGGGCCTGCCAGGAGATGTGTAATCAGAGGGACTTCCAGGCCAAGATGAGAGCCTGGCCCTGGAATTGATGCGTAGAGGTGCTGAAGAGAGACGAGGAATCCCCTCCTGGTGTGGAAAGTGAGATCAGGCATTGAACTTCATCCCAGATGCCAGAGCAGCATTGGGGTGCAGCAAGTAAGGCCCTTGCTTTGCGAAACCAGCATCCCAGATTCAAGTGCCAGTTTGAGTCCTAGCTGCTCTGCTTCCAATCCGGCTCCCTGCTGATGTGCCTGGGAAGGCAGCAGAGACATGGCACTGGTACTTGGGTCCCCGCTGCCCATGTGAGAGACTCACATGGAGTTCCTAGGTCTTGGCTTCAGCTTAGTCCAGACCTGTCTGTTGCAACCACTTAGGGAAGTGAACCGGTAAATATATATTGGTCTCTCTTTCTCTCTGTTATTCTGTCTTTCAAATAAATAAATAAGTAGATTCTGCCACTTTCCCACTGTATCATCTTCCTTTTATATTTTTAAGGTTTGCTGTCTTGAATTGCAGAGTTACAGAGAAGAGACAGAATTTTCATCTAATAGCTGAAGCTAGGTAGACCAAAGCCAGGAGCTTCTGCCGAGTTTCCCATATGGGTGCAGGGGCTCAAGCACTTGAGCCATTCTTCACTGCTTTCTGAGCTGTATTAGCAGGGAGTTGATTTGAAGTGAAGCAGCCAAGTCTCAAACTGACACCCACAAGGGGTGCCGTTGTCACAGGTGGAGTTTAAGGTGCTGTACCACAATGCTGATCCTAAACTGTCATCTTATTCTCCCCAGTCAGTTTCCTCTAGATTCACTCATTTTTTTGTTGTTGTTGTTTCATTTCTTTTTTTTTTTTAATTTTTATTTTTATTGAAAAGGCAGATATACAGAGAGGAGGAGAGACAGAGAGGAAGATCTTCCATCTAATGGTTCACTCCCCAAGCAGCCGCAACGGTTGGAGCTGAGCCAATCCAAAGCCAGGAGCCAGGGACTTCTTCCAGATCTCTCACACGAGTGCAGGGTCCGAAAGCTTGGGGTCGTCCTCAGGGCCCCTTGGGGCTTTCCCAGGCCACAGGCAGGGAGCTGGATGGGAAGCGGGGCCGCTGGGATTAGAACCAGCACCCATATGGAATCCTGGTGTATTCAAAGTGAGGACTTTAACCACTATGTTATCGCGCCAGGCCCCGTTTCATTTCATTTTATGGCACAATTTCATAGGCTCTGGGATTCCCTCAACCCCTCCCCCTACCCTACTCCCATGGTGGGTTCCTTCACCTTGTTGCAGTATTACAGTTCAAGAGTCCCTTGTTTTTTTCCTAATATTTGATTTTTTTTTTAAATTACATTGCATTATTTGACACAGTTTCATAGGTTCTGAGATTCCCCCAACCCCTCCCCATACCCGCCGCCTCACCCATGGTGGATTCCTCCACCTTGTTGCAATATTACAGTTCAAATTCAGTCAAGAGTCTTTCATATACCAAGCATAGAGTCCAGCATCTTATTGTCCAGATCAATTCAATGGTTTCTTAGGGAGACCATCTCTGGTCTGAAGGCAAAGCTGGCAGAATATCATCCCGATCAATTAAAAGCCATAACATAACATCAACAACAATTTACAACATTATGGAATTATTTGACATGTTGTTGAGTAACCAATATGTTAAAAAAAGAATGCAAGTTCTTAACCACATGCTGTGACTACTTCACTGACATTTCAATTTTAGCTTATATACAACCGGCTTCTATATACCTTAAAATGACTATAGGGTACTATTCAGCTGTCTTGTGTCTATTTTCATTTTAGTATTTAGCAATTTATAGTGTTGAAGTATAATTGCTGAACTTGGCAGATTTTAGGATAGTCTAAACTGGCTTATAACTTTAACAAGGCATATGTCAACAGTTGAGGCACAGAACAGTTTTAGGAGGGGTGTGCAGAGAAATCTTCAATACCTTAGTGAGGAGTAACTAATCTTTGTGTCCTACCTAGTAAGGTATGTGTGAGTCCATGCTGACCATTTCCTGTCTGGTTCTAAGCTTTCCTTGTTCTCTATCTATTCTAATTTTTTTGGGGGGGGCCTCCGGAGTGACCCTGATGGTCATTGCAAGAGAGGGTGGGGATCCAAAGTTGGAACTAAGTAAGGACCAGAGAAAGCTCCTCTCCCTAGTCCCGAAGGAAGTTTATTGTTCTTCTTTTTCTGCGGACCACTCAGGATTCCTAGCTGTTGTTCCGATGACCTTGGATCCTGTCAGGAAGGATTTGGGCTTCTTCCATCCCTTGTGGTAGATTCAAATGGGGTGGAGTTCTCGGCCTCCAAAGGCACTCCAATTTCCCATGGTCTCCTTGGTAGTTGGGATATAGCCCTTGGTGCCCGTACTGATAGTCCTTGGTGAGGATCCAGGAGTCTCCAGGGTTGGGATATAAGCCTCCTCCTGTCCATCTGCTCCACTCTGGGGTCCCCCCGAACAGTCCCTCATTGTATCTTCCTTGCAGGGTGACAGTGGAATTGCAGATTGTATTTGTAAAATGATTGAAACAAAGTGAGAGCCTAAGTGTACCCGCCTTAGTGTGTGTCTCTGCCTTTCAAAGAAACTATTCCTCAGTGTTCCCTCGCAGTTGTTATTTCCCCCAAGTGGCCACAATGATGAGGGCTGGACTGGGTTAAAGCCAAGAGCCAGCAACTCCGTTCAAGTTTCTCATGTGGATGGCAGGGGCCCAAATATTTGGGCCATACTATGCTGATTTCCCAGGCATATTAGTAAGGAGCTGGATTGAAAATGAAGCACCTAGGACTTGAATCAGCACCCTTTTGGGATTCTGGCATCGCTGGCAAAGGTTTAATCCATTGTACTATACTCTGAACCCCACAATTGTTAAGAACCACAATACAGGGCCCGGCACGGTGGCGCAAGTGGTTAAAGGTCCTCGCCTTGCACGCCCGGGATCCCATATGGGCGCCGGTTCTAATCCCGGCAGCCCCGCTTCCCTTCCAGCTCCCTGCCTGTGGCTTGGGGAAGCAGTCGAGGACGGCCCAAAGCTTTGGGACCCTGCACCCACGTGGGAGACCCGGAAGAGGCTCCTGGCTTCGGATCGGCATAGTATCAGCCCGTTGTGCTCACTTGGGGAGTGAATTATCGGACGGAAGATCTTCCTCTCTGTCTCTCCTCTCTGTATATCCACCTTTCCAATTAAAAAAATAATAAAAAAAATAAATCTTAAAAAAAAAAAAAAAAGAACCACAATACAATTCTTTGGTCATCTCTAGAGCTTCAATGTGTGGTTTTTACAATCTGCAAGAGCTGTGGTGGTGTGCCACCACAAACATGGCACAGTTTGAAGTAATGTCCAACCCACCACCTGCCAAATTGCGTCATTTCCTACCATTCGTATAATCACATCAAGTCTGATGAGAAGAAAAAGACCAGCCTCCAAGGAGTAAAAAAAAAAAGAAAAGAAAAAAATTGGTGTGGGCAAATATGGTTCCGCTGGTGGGGAAGACACTACAGGACTTGGAGCTACAGATAGCACAGATGATGATGACTTTAACCTCTTTGGATCTGATACTGATGAGCAAAGCAGAGGCTAAGGGAAAAATCGTTTGTACAGTACGAGTCAAAACACCTGTGTTTGTGCCAAGTGTCCTGTCTCACTAGATATGAAACTCTGGAGACATATATGCAGAATTGGAGCTGTGCATCAGAAATATTTGAGCAGGAGCTTGTGCTGCAATGTAGTGGGTAAAGCTGCCACCTGTGGCACCCAGCATCCCATAGTGGCACCACTTTGAGTCAAGCTGCTCTACTTCTGATCCAGCTCTCTACTAATGCCTGAAAAAACAGCAAAAGATGGCCCAAGGATTTGGGACCTTGCGCCCACATGGGAGACCCCAAGAAGCTCCTGGCTTCGGACTGGCCCCAGCTCTAAGCATTGCAACGCTTTTGGAAGTGAAATAAGGAGTGAACCAGAGAATGGAAGATCTCTGTTTCTTTCTCTTTCTCTCTGTTAATTCTACCTTTCAAATGAACAAATACATCTTTTTTTTTTTTTTCAAGCAGATGGCTGAGGGTAGAGCTCCTGTCTGAATTAAAAAATCACTACTCTAAAGAATAAATCACTACTCTAAAGAAATTACATGAGGACTACTCTATTCCTCTTGTTAGCACTCCTCAACTAATTAAAACAAGATTTGTTTGGTAAAATTTTGTTGCAGGCAGTTACTTAAATCAAAATATAGTATTAGTGATTTTGTTGTTACACTTGTTAGTGTGTTTAATTATATACTAAATATTGAGTGAGTGCATCATTTGTGTTGTAGAATAATTTTTTTAAAGAGATTTATTCACTCTATGGGCCTGGTGGCGTGGCCTAGCGGCTAAAGTCCTCGCCTTGAACGTGCCGGGATCCCATATAGGTGCTGATTCTAATCCTGGCGGCTCCACTTCCCATCCAGCTCCCTGCTTGTGGCCTGGAAAAGCAGTCGAGGATGGCCCAAAGCCTTGGGATCCTGCGCCCGGGTGGGCGACCCAGAAGAGGTTCGTGGTTCCCGGCCTTTGTGCTCACTTGGGGAGTGAATCATTGGACGGAAGATCTTCCTCTCTGTCTCTCCTCCTGTCTGTATATCTGACTTTCCAATAATTAAATCTTTAAAAAAAATTTACTTATTTTTATTGCAAAATCAGATATACAGAGAGGAGGAAAGACAGAAAGGAAGATCTTACATCTGATGATTCACTCCACAAGTGACCACTACAGCCGGAACTGCTCTGATCTGAAGCCAGGAGGCAAGAGTTCTTCCTGGTCTCCCACACAGGTGCAGGGTCCCAAGGTTTTGGACCGTCCTTAACTGCTTTCCGAGGCCACAAGCAGGGAGCTGGATGGGAAGCGGGGCTGCTGGGATATGAACCAGCGCCCATAAGGGAACCCAGTTTGTATATAACAAGGACTTTAGCCACTAGGCTACCACACCAGGCAAAGGATGGCCCAACTCCTTGGGACCCTGTGCCTATGTAGAAAACCTGGTAAAAGCTCCTGGATCCCAGCTTCAGATCAGCTCAGCTCTGGCCATTTCAGCGATTTGGAAGAATAAGCCATCAGATAGAAGATCTTTCTCTCCATAAATCTGATCTGCCTTATTAGATCTAGTTATTTGGGGTGTGAACTAGCAGATGGGAGACCTTCCCTCTCTCTCTCCTCTCCCAGCTGCTCCACTTGCCATCCAGCTCCCTGCTGATGGACCTGGGAAAGCAATTGAGGACAGCCCAAAGTCTTGGGACCCTGCACCGAAGTTGGGGACCCAAAGAAACTCCTGTGTTCGGATTAGCTCAGTTCTGGCCATTGTAGCCATTTGAGGAGTAAATCAACAGTTGGAAGACCTTTCTCTGTCTTTCCTTTTCTCCATAAAGCTGATCTGCATTTCCAAGTACATACATACATAAATCTTTTTCAAAAAAAGTTAAAAACAGGGCCCGGCGCGATGGCGCAGTGGTTAAGGTCCTCGCCTTGCACGCCTGGGATCCCATATAGGTGCCGGTTCTAATCCCAGCAGTTCCACTTCCCATTCAGCTCCCTGCCTATGGTCTGGGAAAGCAGTCGAGGATGGCCCAAAGCTTTGGGACTCTGCACCCATGTGGGAGACCCGGAAGAGGCTCCTGGCTTCAGATTGGCTCAGCTCCAGCTGTTGCAGCTGCCCGGGGAGTGAATCATCGGACGGAAGATCTTCCTCTCTGTCTCTCCTCTCTGTATAACTGCCTTTCCAATAAAAATAAAATAAAACTTAAAAAAAAAGAGTTAAAAACAGGGCATGACCAAAGTGTTGTGCACCTTTATTTGTAGGTTTAGGCATACAGCTGTGCCAGCTATGAACAAGATGAATAAATGAAGTCCCTGTCTTGTGAGAACTTCTAGTGACAATGTCACGGGGATGACAATAACCAGGAGCACAAGGCCTTGGAGAGCTGTGGTGTGGACAGCCCCGGGTCTGTATTCAGATCCCTGGACTACACGCTGGACATGCATTGTGTCATAAATGCCCCCACACCCTGTGACGTGGTGGGTACTGTTGTAATCCCCACATCCAAAGCAGTTAGAATCATTTAAGATGAAGAAACTGAGACTTACACCATCCAGTCTCACGACAAAACAAGCAGCACAGCTAGGTCATGGCTCCCAAACACCAAAGTGGTGGAACCGTGTTTCTCTTGCTAGTCCTGCTCTAAGTGTTGGAGTAAGACAACTGAAGAAAGGAATGACTTTGTTTTCTGTGGACCACATGACCTACTTGGCAGCTTTTTGATGTTCAGCATTTAGAGTTTTGACTAATTTGTGTTCTTTGCAAGAGACTCAAATCATGTCCTTGAAATCATGGCAGGCCCACGTCTGACGTCCCCAGTCACATTCCACAGACTGTGTGTCGGCCGGTGTTAGTACAGGTGTCCTCTCGGTGTTAGTACAGGTGTCCTCTTGGTGTCAGTACAGGTGTCCTCTCGGTGTTAGTACAGGTGTCCTCCCGGTGTTAGTACAGGTGTCCTCTCGGTGTCAGTACAGGTGTCCTCTCAGTGTTAGTACAGGTGTCCTCCCGGTGTTAGTACAGGTGTCCTCCCAGTGTTAGTACAGGTGTGCTCTTGGACCCAAGCTTGCCCTAGGCTCCCACTGCCCTTGACTCTGCCCTCCTTCATTGCAGAACGCCAGTGGAACATGTGGATCCCAGGGTTTGGCTCCGAGGAAATCCGACCCTACAAGAAAGCCTGCACCACAGAAGCCCACAAGCAGGTAAAAAGCCACTAGAGCTGTGTCTCATGGAGCTGGCCACCCCCAGGGACCTCACTTCTCTCACACAGTTAGCTTCGCTCTCTGAGGGCAACGGGGAGCAGCCGACCTTGGGCGGGCAGGTTATTTCCTTGCTGCTGTGCTGTTCCCAAGTGGGTTCCTCTCAACTTTGATGGTGTCATTTAAGGCCATTGGTTCTAGACTGACTTACAGATGGATGGCACTCCCCCCTCCTACACCTCCTACAGGAAATCTTCCTTCATTGTTGCTGATAAACACCTGTAAAGGAGGATGAAGAATCAGAACCACTGTGGTTCTGCTGAGAAGGAGTTCCCCGGCTGCTGCTGTGCTGTGCATTCTGGCCCTTGTCCCTTTGGGCCAGTATGTGAACACTGTTTCCACTGTTGACCCTGTCACCAATTAGTTTAGCAGCAGTGATGGCCTGCCTTGCAAAGGCTGCTTCCTTTTCTGTCTGAAGTGACTACTCTAATTTGAAAAGTGAGCTTTTTGCCGCCTCAGAGAGCACAGCCAGGCGGACCCCTTCCTTGCTTTTCTCTGAAGTATTTGCAGAGCTGAGTTCCTGCTGAGAAGCCGCGTGCACAAGCCTGACTTCCAGGATGCCCTGTGCTGCACTTCCAACTGCATTTCTGTCCCATTTATGTGGCCAACAAGTACCATAATATTGGACTGTCTCTTGGTCAAAAAGGAGCAGGACAAGTTAATAGTTCACCCAGTGGCTCAGAGTAAAAATTGACACCCGTGATCCGCTTCCCTTGTGATTGTTAGTCCCCAGTTGGCCAGCAGCTATGAAGTGTCAGCTCCCTGAGAGTGCCAGCACGGGGCAGTGACACTCTTACTTTCTCCACCATCGGAGAGGGTGGAGGGCAGGGCAAGGAAAGCCCAGGAAATACCTGCTTCGTTGGCTGGGCCCTGACTCCGCAGAGGCGAGAGCTCTCACCTTTTCCTACCCTCAACAGTTTTGCCAGTCTGCTAGCCTACAGCACCCTACATTTTGGGTCAGTGTCTGACTTGGGGCCGACCGTGCTCCTGGGGGCAAGAAGCCTTTTGAGTTGCCCTACGGACACAGGTGCCCAAGCTACAGCCTAGGGGATAGACCATGCTACCTGTTGGCCTCACATGGATGTTCTAGAAAGCCTGACACTGACCCATGTAACTGATTATTTCTGTCTCCTTTCAGAGAATGGCACTTATCCGGAAAACAACGAAGAAATAACACAGAGGGTCAGGGCATGGACACCGTTCATGTGTATTTGCAGATACTTGAGCTGAGACTTAGCCATCTCATCCTTGGAATTTTTTTTTTTAATGCTTTACAGAGAAGCATATATTTTTTATTAACAGTGCAGCAATATCTATAATGACTGAGAGGATCTGCCAAAAGAATAAAACCTCCTACCCCA